CATATGTGTGGTAATACCGCAACTCTTTTTTTCGACCATCGGATCGTCACGATTTTTAAAATAAAGTCCTAACTGTGCGAAAACAGATTGCCAAACAGATTGAAACTCGAGAATCTAAAAATGAAACACAGAAACATACTATTTTATATTAATTAACTTAACGAATTTGCGAAAACATTCATTATTCTGCCATATTAATTTTTTGATACACAAAATTTATCAGATATAAAACATGTTAAACACTATTTGTATTTTTTAAACTTTCTTACTGAAATTGCATTCCTTGCCTATTACAGCTCGTCCTATAATAAAAAATAATTTTCTCAACAGATATTCAATTTTTCATTTCTATAGTAAAGAGAAACATATTTAATCCATCACGCTTAATTTAAATTTACTGCTATTATTTGTAGAGATTGTATTTAACAAAGAAACATTAATTATTAAATTTGAATCTGTACAAAGCGTACAACTTAATAATCAAAAATACTCAATGATATAAATTGTTTTAATGCAGATAAATAATTAATATTATTATATTAAAAGCTGATGTCCCGGGCAATGGAAATATCGCTTTTACTAAAGCAAGATGTAAATTTCCAGTCGCCATGGGCAGGTGCCAGAGCACGCCCGGTCTGGTGGAGTCGCGGGGCCGCGTGTCGCTGGAGGACATGTGGATATCGCCGATCGACCTCAAGTCCCACGCGTACTCGACGGCCGCCTCGTTGTTCTCGCCGAGTCCGAGTCCGGTGACACCTCGCGCCATGCCGGGCACGGGGGTTCTAGCGGACACGAACAACGTGCCCAGAGGCGCGGAGAGCCCGATAAGCGGGGCCAGCAGTGGTCCCAGCAGCGAGGACCAGACGGCCAGGGTGCCGCCGTCAGCCGCGACCCAAGTCTCCACCGGCAGGCAGTCCACTCATTCCGGTAAGCTCCCCTCATTCACCAATCATCCCGATGCGATGTGACACTAGGAGATCTCCTTTCCTCAGAATTTTGTTCCCCAAAGTAGGGTTCTATCTCTCCTCTGCACAAAATTTTACATTTTCTGGCACGTTTTCGAAAGGATACTTACCTTGGTAGAAATATGTACCATTTTTGCTAGGCACTCGTTCAGTTACTTCGTCTAGTATTACTGTATTCTCATTAGTTGTAACAATACTGCGTAGGAAATGGACAAGAACTTGATAGAATTTTATTCAGTGATGAAAACAATTTTCCTGATAAAAGTATATATGCAATTTGTGTCCTGCCCTGTTATTATTTATTATTAATAGATTATTAATAATAAACGATTTATTAATTATAAATTAATAATAAATTATTATTATACATTTATTATTCTGTTCGTAAATTTATGTTCAGCAAAATAGATTTGAATTTTGAGTAACTGTAGGCAAAGCATTACATCTTGATTGGAATTCTAAATAGTTTTATTTCTCAGTTACTAGAGAAAAATTAATAAACTGTCCAGTGATTGCAAAAAATGCATGAAATTTCTTTCAGGAAATGATACAGTAGAAGTGGATCTTTTATCTGTTGCATTGTTATGTATTAACAATTATGTTACAACATTCTACATATCTACTGGTATATCTGTATCACAATCGCAACTCGTAATCTTCTTATGGTCTTGCCAATGGTGGCTATAACTACTGGCTGCATTTAATTGACTGCTGCGCTACTTTTCAAAAAATCGATGGTTAAAGCGGATTAATGAACATTCGGATTATCAAATAAAAAATAATGATATTAATTATTAAACTGATTAATATATATTGATTCTATGGGAAAAAATTTTTTAAACAAAGTAAGAAAGAGAAGCATCGTAGAAAAGTGTAGAGAAAGTAAATTCTCCGAGTCAGAATGGATTCAATATAATTATTTAAGAAAAGTAGCAGATATTTCTGTAAACACTCGCAACGTCGAGTAATCACGTAAATTGTATTTTCCGATCATCGATAAAATGCTGCGAACGCAATGAAAATTTTATCCTATCCCAATCATGCTTGATAACTTCGTAAATTCGTTTTACCTGTGTAGGACAACTTTCATATCGGATTTATTTTAAAAATATCATCGATCGCTACCTCGCTGGCGATTCTTTTGCGATATTATACCGGGGTATATAAATCATTGCCGATAACGGTGCCGACGGTGTGCTCGTCGGCAAACTGCTGACGCAAAACCGTAGTTTCTTATAGACTATAAGACTTCGCGATTAAGTGAAGCGCGAACATGGAGAGAATAGGAAGACCTTCGTAGCCTCTCACTTTCTAGTCATCAATATTTCACGTTCCATAAAAGCTTTTTTAGAAAGGCCGTGTAATGTTTGTACCATAAACCATCGATGTCGTTACGTTCGATTGAACGTTTTGTAATAAGTTCCATCCCGGAGGTATTTTCAGAACAAAAGACTCTGAAAGCACACATGTGCTCGCAACGCACACAAGGTCCCAGATTCTCCGCAGCATTATGGAAATTGTCATCATTCATGATATTTCTAGAAATGCATTTTATTGTTTATGTCGTTACGATTCATTTATCTCGGAAAATTTAATCGTCATATTTGAATAAGCTTTAATTGTTTATCATTATGAAGGGAAAGATTGATGAACCATACGGTATTGTGCGCGTCTCCGGAAGAGACTTTATATCGCGCCTTCATAAACGAAACAGCCAATTCAGTCGCAATCCTCGCGCCGCGGATTAGAATTCCGCGGGATGTGATCACATTGCAAATCAAATCTCAAGATTCGACGTAAATAACGACGCGGAGCGTGTCGCGTGTATCGGCGGCCGCCGTTTATCGGCGGCTGTAAAACGGCAAAAAGGTAAATTCAGAAATATCGCGAGGATAATGAATGACGAGCGACGCTCGGCGCCACTCGTAAAATAGCGCCCGACCGTTAACCCCGATAGATACGATAGGTACTAACGATTTTAACGTGTTTCTGCCGACGTTTATATGTCGTTTGGGGAATAAAATCCTCCCCCTCCCCCTCCCCCCTCTCCCACCGATTTGCGCGAACTGGAAACTCCACTGGTAATCGAGCGTTTCCGCTTAAAGCGCGTGTATGAACAAAACGCCGTATGATACGTTAATACCCCCTCCCCCGAAAATAAAGCGACAGATTTCGCTGCGGGCGGTAACAAATCGGATGGCGAATCGACGTTATTCTGATTTAATTGGCGAAACATCGCCACGCGTAATCGCTATTCCGATGGGTACGGTATAAAATGGAAAACCGATCTCTCCCGAAATAGCCGCTGCAATTCCGTTTGCCGAATTCGACGAATGTTGACGCGAGGAGTGACACGATCAAGACGAGTCTCTCGACAATACTCGGGATTTCCTGAATGGCCAGACGATACGCCGCGGTAATTCGTGAATTAGTTAGCAGTTTGCTAATGCTAATCCTTGTACGTTGTATCAGCTCTCGATGCGACCGGGAGAGGCGGTTTCATCTCGTATGCGAATTCTGTTATTGCGCTAGTGCAACCGTTGGTATCAAGAGAGAAATACTAATCGTGCGCATTAATCAACATCAGTGAATCACAAAGACCCACCCGCTCGAAGATGCATTTCGCATTCGTATACACACCGGCGCCGGCGCCGTTAAGTGCAGAACTCGTTCGTTGCTCTTTCCACGCTTCTCATTTAATCTAACTTCCAACAATTGATAATTGCGCGCACTTGTACTATATCAGCGGACTGAAAGACAAAACTTCGTACTCACGTATATTTAGTACGTAATCGGGACCATTGTAAACAGATTGTGTACAAAGACGCGTTAACAAGGAGGGAGAGAAGGTGTCAAATTAAGTTAAAAAAAAATTAACTCTTTGTTCTTTCTAAATTCTTCAGAGTGAATCTCATTCCAAGAGAGTGAAATCTTACTCCAAAAGAGTAAAAATTCTGCCACTCTTTTTCAAAAGTAACAGAATTTTCACTCTTTTGGAGTAAGTTCATTCCAAAGAATTTAGAAAATTCCTGTAACACTAATTGCACTTACTCGCTTTTGTCTGATTTCATCTCTTCTGAAATGTATTTACCGTACATAAATTTTAAAAAATCGTATCACAAAATCTGAAACTATTATTAGTCGGATTGGAATATTTTTCGATGTTATTAAAATCTTTCAATATATGTATACAGATCCATAACAAATAAAAAACCATTTTAACAGCAGAATACTGATCATGTAACATTTTCCCTAGAGTGAAAATGTGAAAAATGAAAAATGAAAAATTGTTCTATTAACTTCAATCTCAAAGTTTTTATTTTTTACATTTCCACTCTACAAGTTACAACATACAAGTTACAACATATCCTAGAACAAAAATCGCGATCTTTTTAAAGGTATCCAATAATAAATTATTTTAGAAAATAGCTTATTTAAAAAATTGATAAAATATTGTGAATATTTTTTTTTTATATTCGACTGTGATTGGTCAATTCTTGCAATCATTTAAACTATGCTTACGTAATTGTGGAATGGCTTATATACATCAGCAGCGACCCTACTTGTAGATAGATATATCTACAGATATATAAAGTTGAACGTCTTTCATTGAAACGCAATCTCCACATTATGCGGAAGATGGAGAATAATTCAATCGCCAGTTGTAACTATCTCACGAATTCGTATTGAGCGTTCTGCCACTTGCTTATTTGTTTCCACCTCATTTATTTATTATAATTGTTATTAACCTTTGAAACTATTATAGAAGAAAACTATTATAGAAGAAAAGAAACTATTATAGAAGTCTATAATTTGTGAAAAATCTAAACTTTTTTTCTTAAGTAAGATTTGTTAATTAACTCAAGATTTGTAATTCATTATTTTATTATGTTCCCTGCCTGAACATATGACACTGTTTCAGCCACTGTAATAGCTTTCCTATCCTGTTAAACTTCCAGATGCACCATTTTAGTTATTTCTTCATCACAGATGTTTTTCACAAAATTATTAATGTCACTTTTAATAAAATTACTTAATTTAGAGAAATGTGAACAACATCTCTATACAATACTCATCTTATTTCAGGCATGACTTGCAACAGCATGACACAGCTGGTGAGCGAAGGTACAACGCCTTTGTTTGGCACCCACGAGGCTTTATTGGCGGAGATTCAGCGTCTCCGCGAGCGCCTGAAAGGCCTGGAGACTGAGAACGCAGCGATGAGCGTCAAGCTGAACCAGCAACAGTGGGAAGTCGAGCATCGATTGGCCGAAATTGAGATGCAGATCTGCGGGGCAAGCTCGACCTCGAGCGTCGAGGACAACAATGAGAGAAATCGGGAGAGCATTATTTAACGAGAAACAATGCCGCGAGAGCGCGGCAAGACCAAGATCGAGCGGATACGCCACTACCTTGTTGGAACCGCTGATACTAGGTACTTAACTTATTACTATATTTTTAATAATAATATATCAGGAGCATAAAAGCCAATAAATATTTCATACGTTATTACTACAGAATTCGAATCTATAACACGTTATTACTGTAGAATGCAAATCTACGAAGTTATTTACGCATAAAACATGACTTATTATCATTGATTTAATTACAAAAAGCCTTTGCTTTTATATTACAGTTTTATTTCTTTTATATTGCATTATTACAGTTATTACAGGAACAATATTGTTGATGCTGTTTGCGTTGTTTTTTTTTTTCCTTTCTTCTATATATATATATATTCATAAGGAGATATAGAAATGTCCCCTTTCAATTTTGATGAGCTTTTAATATTATTTTGTAGTCTCGATCAAAATAAAAGATACGTATTTTTATACATGTCCATACACACTTTTAGGAGCTGAAACATCCAATTGATTCTTTTTCAGATCGAATATTATCGATGCTATGAGATTTTTTTAAATAAAAGTTGAATGATTTGAAGAATACTTTTTATAAGAGAAAAAAAATTTCTTAATAAAAAAATTTTTGTTTATAAAAAATATTTTTTAATTTTCAACTATTATTATAAAGTTCTTTTAAAGCCATTCGACTAAAAATTTTGTTTTATTTTTTAGAATTTCGACGATATTTCCGTTGAAAAAAATAACTGATTTTCTTCAAAGGAATATTTCATCTCCTAAATGTAGAAACAATACGTTATTTTCATCTAAACTCATCAAAATTGAAAGAGAATGCTTTTTTATGTTGTCAGTCTTGTAAAATCAAACTTTGCAATATAATAATTATTATTATTAATCAATCTTGCTTTTGTGTACGACAGGTACGGCGATCAGTCGGAGTTGGACGACACGAGGGTCCTCAGTGACACGAAGTCGATCGGTAGCTTGAGCCAGCATCTTTTCGAAAGCGACGAGGACGAGCGTTACTACGGTACTTGCAACGGCTACGTCTCGCAACCCGGCAGCAAATCGAATCTGCTGCTGTGTAGCGAGTGCGATCAGAAAACGCACACCTGCACCTACCGACCGCAAACACCTGACTCACATGCCGGCAGATACGTGGAAGAACGTATAGATGACCGGCATCAGGAGCCAGGAACCTCTCGTGCCTACAGAAGTCCGGTGAAACTGTCTTCTCCGCGCTCGTACCATACGGATCAGGATCGCGTGGTGCAGACATCGTCGCCGCGATCGTACTACGATCTGGAGCAAGCAGTGCCGATAACGTCACCTCGATCCTACAGGACGCAGGAGCCACAGCGACGCGGATGGACCGCCAGGGATACGGACGATCGAGGTGACGTCGACAGAGGCGAGTACCTCGACCAGTTCTGGTCCGAGGATTGAACAAGTTCGTTCGCTTTGCTTTATTAATTTGAATGGCTTCGGTGTTCTCCGATGTCTTCCCATCATCTGGTGTACACTGATATTTCCGGTCTTTGCACTTACATTCTAATCTAGAACCTTTATTCTTCCTTGGCAAAAAAATTTAGGGTATGTGAAATTCTTTTTTTAACTCTTAGTATACATATGCCAGTTTCTATCAATGTAGATTAACTTTAATATTAGTTTAATTTAGTCTTCATCTTTTTTTAATTTTTAGAACTTCTAAAAAGATGAAGAGTTAGTTGAATTTAGAATAAGAGATTAGAATTAAAATTTTTTCTACATTGGTAGAAATGTGGGCAATAATTTTCCGTTCCTTTACTACACATAACAAAATAATTCGTGTGTCAGAGATTCCTTTTTCATTACTTTAACAAACATGCAAAAATTATTAAGTGATTTTTACATATACCTTGACATCTTTGGAAAGTTTTTATAAGATTGTGTATAGATATTTAAGAAAAATAGTACATAAATGTTATAACTATCAGATATTATAATTATCAGAAGCGCCTACTTTCTTGAAAGAAAAAAAAGCAGGACATAAATGATGAAAGTCCAATTGTGTGTACTAAAGGTCAATTTAATCCTTTTTTGTTATTATATTATGTAGATCTTTATGTGAAACCCTTAAATTTTAATCCTGTTACGAGAATGGATGTTATTATTTGACGTAGGTAACATATAGTATCTTTCTATTCTATTTCTCGCACGCACACCGC